TGAAACACAAGCAATGCCCTTCCAGTGCAACTGTTCACTCAGCTCATCACAAGAGCAACAATAACTAGAACAAACCAAAACAATTAGATGGAAAGAGAAGAAACACTGAAGCATGGACAAGGCCATCCCATGTTACCTGATGGGAAAGTTCAATCCTGCCCTGGCCAAATCATGTAGATTCATGCAATTGCTATTTGTATTCCACCACGCTTCTAGGAATTCCAAGTCTGACATTTGTTTTGAAAATGTATGACTATCAAAGAATATCATGGAGAAAAAGTAATAAGGCAGAACTAGCCCTTCCAGACATTAGAAAAACATAATGTAACACGTCAGTAATCAAAATCACATGACACTGGATCAGAACTGGAAATAAACTAAATGGAATGAGGAAAGAGAACAGAAATGAATTGTCACTGCATATAAGAGTGTGGTAAGTGATAAACACTAAGTAAAACCACAGTGAGGAAAGAAAGCTATTGAACTAATGTTCATAGGAAAATAGGACCCCGATACAGAGAGAAATTAATTTAACCTAACCCTCATTATATTTATATATGTATAGATATAGATATACCACTATAAATTCCAGTGAAATAGTTATTTTTTTAACATAATATCATGAAAAAAAGGAAAACAGAATAAAGTATTTATTCCATTTATGGACAAGAGAGATTCTTTTCACTATTGAAGCAAAAGGTAAAATTACAAACATTAAAAAAAAATGCTCAGACACAATTATTTTTAAAAATGTTAACTCCTTTCCTACAAAAGCCACAAAAATGAGAAAAGGCAAAAACAACAATATAGGGGAAACTTATAATCATAAATATAACAGATAAAACTTGTACCTAGATACTTTATACTCATTAGGATGGCTATTATCAAAAAAAAAGGAAAAATACAAGTGTTGGCAAGGATATGGAATAACCGAAACCCTCATTCATTGCCGTGGGAATGTAAAATGGTGCAGCTGCTCTGGAAAACAGTTTGAGGGCTTCTCAAAAAGTTAAACATAGAATTACCATATGACTCATCAACTCTACTCCTAGGTATACAGACAAAAGAATTGAAAGCATGGATTCAAGCAGATCCTTATACCCCCACGTCACAGCAGCATTGTTTATAGTAGCCAAGAGGTGGACACCAACCAAATGTCTATCAACAGGTTGAATGGGTAAATAAAATGCAGTATAGACATACAATGGAATATCAGTCCTTTAAAAAGAAATTAAATTCTGACACATGCTACAACATGGATGAATCTTGAAAACATTATGCTAAGTGAAATAGCCAGAGACGAAAGGACAAATTATTTCACTTATAACATGAGGCACCTAGAACAAGTGAATTCATAGGAGCATAAAATAGAATAGCAGTGAAACTAATAAAAAAAAATAAAATAAAAACAAGATAGCAGTTACCAGGGTCTGAGACTAGAGGGGAGGGAGGGGAACAAGAGGAGAACGTCACTGTTTAAAGAGTACAAGGTTTTGGTTTGGGATGATGAAAAAGTTCTGGAAATGGATAGTGATGTGGCACATTGTGAATGTACTTAATGCCACTGAGTGATACAATACAAAATGGTCTAAATGGTAAATTTTGTTATGTATATTTTATCACGATTTTTAAAAAACTTATACCTAGAATATACAAATCTCTAAAATAAACTTCCAAATCTCCAAAGGTAAAAAAATCAAACACTATGGGAAAAAAGTTACACAAAAGAAAAGAAACAGTCAAGCAGCTAATAATTGAAGAAATGGCAAAGAGGTTCAACAATGAGACGGCGCTTGTCAGCAAAATGGTAGGCCTGTATTTACAAGGAAGAAATACATAGGCCAACATTTACAAGGTTGAAGGAAGAAATCAATCTCATATACCACCTGAGAAAAATTTTACACTGCCTTGGGGTGTATGACTCCTTCAAACCTTTTGGAAGGCTATCTGGTAATATACATTAGATCTCATTCTAAAAATTAATATCCTTTGACTCAAGAACTTCATTCAAGAAGAAACAAAGCTGTGTGCAAAATGTTTACATCAGGATTTTGTTTTACAATAGGGAAACACATAAGATCTGAGGAATGGTTGAATGAATTATGGAGTATTAACTGTGAAACAGTATGAGACCACTAAAAAAAGTTAAACAAGAAGACCACAGATACAGGGGAGCATGTATAAAAAAATAACAACGTGAATAAAAGAAAACCTATCCATGCTGCATAATTATAACTGTATGAAATTATTCATAAAGATAAAAGCTACCGTTGATTGAGAGCTTACGTGGTCCCAGGCACCATGCCAGGTGCTCTACATGTTTCATATAATTTATTCCTATAACAACCCTATGAGAGATATATATCTTGTCCTAATTTTATTAATGATTAAACTAAGGCCCAGCAAGTCCCTGGGCCTTACTATACACATATTACACGAGGGATCAGGGTCTGACCGCAGCCAGTGTGACTCCGACCTATTTGCATGGGAATCACATTTAAGGGAGGACTGAGAGATGTAATGTTTTTGGATTAAGTTTTCAGTAAAAAAATAAGAAAGTAAATCATTCCACACAAGTCTCAATGAAGTGCTATACCATTAGTCTATTTCTCAATTCCACCACTTCTGAAACTTAGAAATATTATATTTATATAGACAGGCTGCCATTCACTTTCATTTTATAAAAGTGGATACCTTATAGTTGTGACAACACAAAGAAACCACCTGGAACTCGGCTCTGTTTTTGCCCCAAATGTCTTTTTCATGCATAACTGCAAAGCACAGCCAAAAGGGCTTGCTAAATAAATCTCAAATGTCTGTGGAAACATTTCCTGGAGGCACAGCTCACTACCGCCACCATTTTGGAACTGGTTCTCACAGTTCTGACTGCAGCACATTGAGGATAGAGACGTCCTCATTCATCTCCTCAAACCCCCTTCCACTCTTGCGCAGCCAAAGAGGGGGGGCTTCTGTCTGCTCCCCAAAGGAAAGGTGAGATCTTTCTGTACCCCTTGGATAGACATTAAAGAGCCTAAAAAGTCCAGGCTGCCTGTGAGGCAAAAGGGAGCTGTCATCACAGCAAAAAGGAGAAAGGAGAGAGATGAGACAGAGGCCAAGGCCTTAGTATTTGAAGAGGCAGAAATCCCTAAAATGCAATGGCTGTCCTTCCCAGATGAGTTTTGAGAACAGTTTGGGCATTCAGATACACTGCCATAAAATATTTCCAAGGCAGTTTGGGGTTACGGATATTTGGCTTTCTGAAGACATGGTTGGCACCTGCCTCGTCTGCCGAAACATAATGTTCCTGGAGATAAGGACCACATGCAGAGGTATCTAAAAATAAATGTGGGGGAAATACAGGTCTGTTTAAATGTCAAGAGGAGAGACTCAAAAACGCTCAGCATATAAAGTCAATCTGCCAGTCGTGCTCCTAAGGAAAGCAGAGGTGGCTGAGGGAAACCAGGATCACGATAATGTAAGCCCCGGAAGAACAGAGTGATTGGTGTCATGGCCAAGGCCTCCAGGAAACAAACAACTGGTTCCAAAGAGCCAGTTGTTTTCCTTCCCCATTTGCAAACGCTGGCCTTCCTCCATGAGTGACTTATTTTTCTAAGGGAAGTGTGTTTACTGGAGCTCACAGAGCTGCACGTGGTTTTCTAGAACACGGCCACCGCCTTGCTGTTCCCTTTGCACAGGAGGGAACATCCACATTATAACTAGGTGGTTCCAGAACTTGGGTACAATGGTTGGCACAGGAGTGCCAGGGGGGCTGACACAGCACCTCCAGCTCCTCTTCATCTCCAAGGCTCAGGGAGAGCTAGTCAATTCCCCAGTTCCTTCAGGCAGGTCCCAAACTCCAGGGAGACAGTCAGGCTGCCGGACGCACAGTGAGCCCTGCAGGACACAGGCCACTCACCCCACAGCCCCTCGCAGGTAACAGTACAGATAACTAAGCACCATAAGCTATCAGAAGGGCTCTGCGGCCCTCAAGTGCTTCTCCCAGAGAATTAGAAAGTCACCCACATCGATTTCTCTGACTCAAGTCTGTCACACAAAGGGCATCGACAACGCCATGACAACACCTGTGTGGTGAAGCTACACCGCTCCAGATCTCCCGTCATCATGCCACACCCCAGTTGTCACAAACAGCTGCAAATCTATTTCAGGCATCACTCACTAATGCAAACACCTGCATTTTCTTCAACTACATGGACGTATATCAAAGCAACGTCGATGTCCCTTCCTAACTGCCCCAAATTAAGACAAGATACCAAAGGACCAGCAATCACTAAAGATCTGACAATTTTTAAGATGCTTAGATAAATGAAGCGGGTTTTTTTTTTTCCTTTTTAATTCAATACTGACCTGATGACACACAAGGAAAGCATGACAACAAGTGAATTGTTCTGAAATAGGTCCTTCCCTTCCCACTTACAGAGAAGCAAAGCCAAGTGCAGGGATGTTCCATGCAGATGTGGGAGGGCTGCCCACTCAAGTGGCACCAACACTCTCACCGGGGCAGCCACAGAATGCTCCCCAGGGGCAGTTTGGCTTTGCCCCCAGTCAAGGCCGACCATGAACAGGGGGTTCAAAGCATAAAGCTGCCATCTTCTCTGCTCCTATCAATAATACTCAGTTTTCTTTCTCCCTACGTCTGATCATTTCCTTAAATTAAGGAAAGAAAAAAATGTGTCATGTATAAGATACACCCCCAATGAAATCTAATGTTGATAAGAAATGAATAGGAAAACTAATACTTTTTATTTCTGTGCAAAGGGATATTTTAGAAGAGTCATATGGAGAATAACCTTAGCTATATGGAATATGCCAGAAATAAAGGAAGATGGGTCCATGGAAAGACTGATAGGTTCAAATTCATCTTAGCATCAGTCTTCTCTCGCCCACCCTACATTCTGACATGGGCAGGGTCCCAACTCCACGTGAGAACAGGTACAAGGCCACTGCTTCAGTCCGGGCTGCCACTCTGGGTTGTCACTCACCTGTGCCATTGGTCAAGCCACTGTGGCTTGGGTTCTTGACGGGCTGGCGGTGCCGGTTGCTAGTACCAGGGCTCTGATCGCTGGTTGCTATGGTTGTTCTGGCTGAGCCACCTGAATGTCTGTGTGTCCTGGGGGTTCAAAGTAGAAAGCAGACAGAAATAAGTCACTGCAAAAACAAAAGAAGTGTATCCCACATAAGTCACCATGTTCCCTCTCTTACTATTTATTGTAAGACTTTTAATAGCCCCTGGAGTCTTTGACTCAACAGACGCTGGCTCTAAACAGAGAGACCCAGGTATGCTTCCTTCTTGGTAAAAGCCCAAAAGGCAACTTTGGGTAAACTTGTCCACTTGCAGTAAACAAATCCAGAGTGAATTGCCCCCACATCTGAAATAACTGGCAAAATATCCTGTGACCATCGTATTATTTTTATTGGGCTTAAATGTAAGAAATAAACAAGAATCACTGGGCAGGGTACAGATGACATATTTTTCCTGTTAGAGCCTAAAACTGATCTGAATCCATTTTCTCTATAGCTAGAAAGATGCTTCTCCTGGAAACAGAAGTCAAGGGGCATTTGACAACTTCAGCCAATGCATATGCTGATTTGTTTTATCTAGAAGAGATGACTCAACAGTCCATCCAAGCCAATGAGGAACAATGCGGAAAGGGATTTGCATCAGAAGAAAACCAGCGGGCTCTCACAGCAGAGAACCTACCTGACATCTTCAGAAAGCGAGAGGCAACAGGCAGTGCATGTTCTCACGGTTCCTGTTGTGACTTGACTTGGACCCCTCAGTGAAAAGCTCAAAGCCTCCTTGCCCTTCGGTTCTTCAGTGTTGTCAAAGCAGATTATTTATTCAACTGCTTAGTGTCTATAGACTGCTTTTTTACAGTGAGATGATTTAAATATCACCCAGTGAAGAAAGGCTACCCCTCTCCAGGCACAAAAACGGAGGTTCAGGATACAATCTACACCATGTGACATGGGGCAGTGAGAATACCATCGGGTTGTCGAAAAAGTCATGACGTATTTTGTCTATGTCTTTCAAAGGTCATTTATTTATATAAAGAACAAAGATCAATCAATGATATATTGCCCGTTTTGTTCGATGACCTTTTGCCATCTTTCAGTGAGCTTCATAATTCCTCGTTCATAGAAGGACCTGTCTTTATTTGTGAAAAGCTGAACAAGATGCTGATTTACAGCCTCATCTGAATTGAACGTTATACCATGCAAGGAACTTTGAAGAGAGTGAAACAAGTGGAAGTCTGATGGTGCAAGGTCAGGCGAGTATGGTGGGTGTGGCAACACATCCCATCCAAGGTTCAATCATTTTTGACGGGTGATCAAACTTGTGTGTGGTCTCGCATTGTCACAATGAAACACAACTCCTTTACAATTAACAAGCTCTGGACGTTTCTGGATGATGGGTTCGTTCAAACTGTCCAATTGCTGACAGTACACATTCGAATTGATTGTTTGGTTCCTTGGTAGGAGCTCGAAAAACACAACATCTTTAAAATCCCACCACACTGAGAGAATAATCTTCCTCTGATGAATGTCTGCTTTCGATGTTGTTTGAGGCGAATCATCACGTTGGGACCAAGACCATTTGCGCACCACATTGTTGTAAACAATCCACTTCTCATCACCAGTTATGTCACTTTAAAAAAGGATTGTTTTCAGGCCGGCCGAGTGGCGCGTTGGTTAAGAGCTGGCTTGGGATGCCAGAGAGCCCCAGTTCGGATCCCACATATGAGGGCCAGTGACACTGCCCTCTACAGCTAAGATGCTGAACAACAGCTCAACTTGGAGCTGGGTTGCCATGAGTCGCCAGCGACTGCATAGGCTGCAGCCCCTGCTGCAGTGGGTTGCCATGGGCTACCATGTGTAGCCAGCAGCCAGCATGAGTGGCCAGAAGCCACCGTGAGCGGCCAGAAGCCAGCGACTGATCTGCCTCGCCTGGGAAGAACGCAATGATGGTGCCAACTTGGGCCAGTGAATAAACGTCCTCCACAACTAGACTGAAGAACAAAAAGACAACAACTTGTCTGTTCCCCTTCCCCCAATTCCCTAGCTGTTCCCATCCCCCAATTCCCCAATAAAAATCTTAAAAAAAAAAAAGGATCGTTTTCCTCACGTTTAACAAGCATATTGCAGATGTTTATATGCGCCGTCAAATGAACTTCTTTGAGTTCATGCGGAACCCAAATATCGAGCTTGCTTACATATCCCAGCTTCTTCAGGTGGTCATGAACACTTGAATGATGGATGTTCAATGTTTCTGCAATCTCTCACGTCATGTAACATGGATTTGACTCGATCAATGCCTTTATTTTGTTGTCATCAACCTCGGTGGGCCTCCTTGACCGAGGAGTGTCGTTGAGATCAAATTCACCAGCACGGAATTTCGTGAACCATCGTTGGCACTGATGTTCTTGTAGAGCATTGTCACCATAAACTTTATGCAACTTTTCACAAGCTTGACGCATGTTCTTCCCTTGGAGGAAGTAAACAGTAGAATATGGCAAAAATGCACAGTTTGGTCTTCCATCTTCAACTTGTTGTAGAATCTCCAAAACTCAACCAAATCGCTCAATTTGTTTTTAGAATGAAGCTAGAACTGTCAGCTGTCAAATGACATAGCAATAACATAGATGCGAATGACTCTAGTACTTCCAAAAATGAACTAGTGCCATCTGTTGCAAACATGTGTCACGACTTTTCCGACAACTCAATACCAACAGTAGCAGTAACAGTGACTATGGAAGTGTACGTATACTGTGCACTGAGCTACACTATTATGTTCCGGGTACCTGTGGTGTTCTATGCCCTTTGCATATATTATCAATGGAACACTGCAAACCTAGAAGTAGCTTATATTATAATGCCCATTTTACAGATAAGAAACAGACACAGAGAAGTGCAGTAGAAAGTACGCAATGGAATAAGGACTCTAATTTAGGTGGTAGAAGGTCAAGAGCCCATGCTCTTTGGGTGGAGGTTGGGGTGAGAAGCCTGGACTGAAGCTAAATCCCTCCCAGGCAATTATTTTACTTGTCACTTAGCCAATGGCAAGATGAAGAGCTCTCATAGAAAGCTCCCCAGCGGAGACATGTCATACCTACCAGGATACCTCTGCTGGTCAGACTCTATCTAGTCCAGTGAGTTGGGACAAGCCTGCAGCATAGCAAACTAGGGGGATTCCTAGGGGAATAAGGGCCCCCAATGACTATCTTCCAACAAGGTGGACATAAGCCAAAATGCTCACAGTGATTATCTTTGGGTGTTGGGAATATGGATGTCCTTAGCTTTTACTTTTGTGCTTTTCGAGATTTTTCTAGGTTTCTTCATTGAGCCTATCTAATTTTGAATAAGGAAAAAAAGACAATTTTTTTAAAAGAAAAAAAAAAAGGTTTTTCTTAGGCCAACGCTACAAATAAAAAAAAGAAAAAGAAGAAACCTAGCAAACCCTGGAGTCCTTCATACCTAAAGACTATGTGGCAGTTAAAGATGAATGGACAGGGGACAACTGAGCTATGGAAATAAAGGTTTAATTTGGACTCTCTTTTTCCATCTTATTTTTCCCTGAGCTAATTTCATAAATCAAAAGCTGTCAACCACACCTCAGTCAAGAAAAAAATATTTCAAAGTCCCCACTTCACAGGAAGAAATGTTAGTATTGAGAGTCTGGCCACAACTCCTCACCGAAAGCAGAACGAGTTAAGACGAGTTCCAAGGGGAAAGATGGGCTTTGGCCACTGGAGAACGTATGTATATGTACTGGGGGCAGAGAGCTTAAGAGAGATAGAATTGGTTAATAGGAGGTTTCTTTCAGCCAAGAATCCCCTTAAAAGGACAAAAAAGCCTCTCTGAGGGGGTGGCTGGACCCCTCTAGGAGCAGCAGGCCGAGTGGACAGCATGGAAAATGCAACAGCAGTCCTGTCACACGTATGGCTCTGAGAAGCCCATGATTACACCCTGTTGCCAGGCTCCCTGTCCCTCAGCAGAGCAGCTGGGCAGGACAACAGGGTGGGTCCCATTACTCCCCTGGCCCCTCCCTCCCTCCCTTCCCCGAAAGGGTGTGCGGTCAGAGTTGAGAGAGAATACTTTCAGAAATGTTTAACCACTAATGATAGCAGCTTACCCTGAAAGACAGGCTGGAGTGCAGCCGGGATTAGCCTGTAAACCAGGGGCAGCTGGGACCACTTTACGTGAACTGCCGCCTCCCTGCCCGTGGCCCACTGCCACCCCGCTCCCCTCACCACCACACACATGTAGACCCTCCCAGCAGTCTTCCCTCGCCCAAAATCTGGAGCTTCCACTTTTTCCTCTTGAATTACCTTTAAAATAAGACTCTCAGAAGGAAGAGAAGGCCTCAACATTTGAGGAAAATCTTCTCTTGAGCAGTTTCCTCTCCTGGAGGACTCACTAACCCCTTAAAAGATGGGATTGTGTCGCGATTAAAAGCTGGCCCAAATGCTGAAACCACACACCATACACACCATACGCCAAAATAGTATCAGGACAAAAGGGGGGCAATGGGGTGGGGATGAACTGGGCTCTCTACCACAGACAGCCTGGCTTCAGCTGTGCCAATGACTTCAACCTTGGCCTGATCCCTCCACCATTTTGCGGGGGGGGGGGGCGGGGGGCGGGGATTATACACCAGAGCAGTCAAAGAAAGTGGAACAGCAAAACTCCACAAATGGTTTCAGGTCACCTAATTACAGAGACTCAGCTTTCTTTATAGCATACCCTTCTCAGAATGCTGGCGAGTCCTTACCTAAGGTCCTCCTCAGAAACTGAGGCCTCCCTAAGGAATGCCAATCAAGACCAGGGACCTACGATGCTCTCTCCATGCTCCTGAAAGAGGATCTGATACAGGTAAGGTTCCAGGACAGGGCTCTGGGCTGTCCCCTGACACACAAGTTTTGACATTCACAGCGCTGGCCTCAGTCCTCAGGTGATGCTCACGGCCACGGCCTTGGATACCTTGGGACATCTTACATCACTTCTCATAAAGGCCCCCGAGTTGAATTCTATCATTATTTTTCTGAGCCTTAGGTCCTGTTCTAGGGCTAGCAATACAACAGAAAGAGTCCCTGACCTCAAGGAGCTTAT